TACTATTTAAAATAATATCCTAAATCCTAATTGAAATACTAAAACCTATTTAAACTAAAATACAAAGATAAAATATAATGTTTAAAATATTATCCTAAACTTGAGTTTGATCCAAATTCGAATTCCAGAAACGTGCGGTCAATTCATTCTTTCTTCTAGAAACGCTGACTGGATTTTCTAGAAGGTTCTGACGTCATCGCCTCGTCGGATGTTTCATGTCCGAATTCCATGCCCACTAATACAACTTCGATTCCAAAAATAAATAAAAAAATTGCAGAATTCTTTCCTTTTAGTGCAATTTCCATAATCTGATGTCTTTGCACAGAAAATGAATGAAAATGAACAATTAAGCCACAAAAACCAATGATTAATGAATAATTTAAAAGATAAATATTAACTAAATTAAGCATTTATCAATTATTGACCAGAACAAACTAATTTGTGAGGGCCAACAAACCCCTTTACACTCGACGGCGAAGCAACAACCAGTAATCAAAACTAAAAGAAGAAGAAGCAAAAACCCCATATTATCTAAATTAAAAGGAAATACCATCTAATATGGAAACAAAGTATAAACTTACGTTTTATCTGAATTTTAACTACTCATATTTTTTAAGAGAGTAACTAGATTATCTGTTTAATTTTTTTTCAAAGTATAATTCTAGTTAATTATGGGTATAATTTGATTTTTCTCAATTTTATCCCATATATCATTTTCTTTAAAAATAAAACAACTTCATTCATTAAATATGGATAATTTTGAGTATCGAGTTCTGAATATTGAGTCGAGCTCGAACTTGCTGCAATTTAAGCTCGACTTGATTACATCCCTAGTGTTCAAAAATATTAAACAAATAAACCTACATAATTTTAAATAAACAATCACAAATATAGAAGTCAAACATAAATAAGAATGAACCAAAACTCCTAATTGATCTTCACTAACGTGAGGAGCAAATTAACTAAAACTGGTGAAAGACGAGGAAAAGGAAGAAAAGGCTATCTTTTGTTCTAATTCGGCCTGGATCCGAGGATAGCGAGCAAGCACCAAAGAGGCCAGGCATTGAGTAAAAGCCAAGGCATAAACCGCATTATGTTTGAGTGCGTCATTAATCAAGACGTTCGAGCATGGCAACGGAACCAAAATGTAATAGTAAGAAGATAAGATCCGTTGATTCTAAATTTTTTTTTTCTGTTTTTATTTCTAGAAAATAATTTTTTATTTTTATTTTTTTATAAATTAAAAAAACATGTTTGGCTAATATAAATGAAAACTTAAATTAAAAAATGAAAATTATGAAAAATATATTTTGTATCTAATTTTTTAAAATACAGATGAATAAATAGTTATTAAATAATTAAATTAAAATATAATTATTAAAAAATTTCATTACATAAATTTAACATGTGAATTATGGAAAAGCAATAAAATTGATAAAAAAATCATAACAGAAAAAATCTATTTAATTTTTTGACCAACTGAATCAAACTGTGAAGAAGATTACATGACAGTTCAAAAAGTTTATATGATAATCTACAATATTGATGCAACATTTCATTATATTATTGTGGCAGTACACAATGATAATGATGTTGTAAATGAGTTTAATTGATTTTTTATTAAGTTTGAGGGCCTAATTAATATTTTAGAAATTATGAGGACTTATTCAATTTTTTTAAAAAAAGGTATTATTTAATTATAAAATAAAAATAATTATTAAGATATTATACATTAAATATAAAAATGCTAAAAAATAAATTATTAAAAAATTAGTTTAAGGTCAATATAGAGTGAAAAAAATAGAGGACCATATTATTTTGAAAAAAGATTGAGGCTTTTAGATACCATTAAATCAAAAAATTATTGTTAGAAAGATTTGAACATATGTAAGTTAAGTTAAAATTCTAGATTTTTTATTTTTTTTTATTTTTCAAATTTTCAAAATAACTTTAATAAAAATACTGAAATTTTTTATGTTTTCATACTTTCACTTATTTTTATTTTCATTTTCTATAAATTGTTTTCTAATTTTACTATCAAACTTTTTTTAATAAAAATAAAAAAAAATGAAAATAACCTATATTTTCTTGAATAAAGCGGACCTTAATATTCGTGATCCAAAAGATAATACCATCGTCCGATGCGGGATCGGATGTTAAACCCACGAATTTGGCTCTCACGGCAGGGAACATGCTTCTCAGATCAACCAGTTGAGGATGTTTGCTCAATCCCTTGAGACTAAGACGGCAAATCCCAGTCCATTTACGATCATCAACACTAAGCACCCAGATTCTCACAAGTTTTAAAGCTTGGTCGTATTGTGCATGCTGAACACGTCCCCCACACAAACCGATATATCCTGGCCTCCCCTTCGTAGTCGCGGTGTCTGGGGGCGAAATGAAATTAAAATCGACATCGAAGTTCCCGTTCTCGTCTCCGACGGCGAACCATAGTAGGACATCGGGATGCCATAATATAAATACCTTTCCGTGCAAGTAAACGTATCTTTTATCTAAAGTGCATGTACTATTATCAACTAGTGGGCTGGAGTTGTGGACCTTGCGAGTGTGCCATGTTGAATTACGTGAAGAGAAAACGTCCAAAATCTCTTTGTTTTCGGAGAAGCTAATGATTTTTAAAAAATCCATCTCTCTGTATGCTTTCCAGTGTCGAATACCCACTGCAAGAACAGTAAAAATTCCCGACTTGTCCGGACAAGGGATGAGAAGAAACTGCTTGGTGGTGGGATTCCACAAAACATAGTTATTCTCTGACGGATGTCGGAAAAGCATCAAACCATCTCGGGAGTCGAGCAAATATTTCGCACCAGGACTAGAGTCACCGGAAAATCCATCGCCGCCGTCAATCGATTCATTGAACATGGGAGGCCAAGCATCAACATCTGGTCCGGCATCGGAGATTGCGGCTCGACCAAACACGATATCCTTGTGAGGAGACTTGACCTTGATGATTAGATGGCATCCCAAGAAGGGAAGGGAGGGAGTTATTAGAGGTACACAATAATAATGAATCAAGAAGTACCAGGGTTTACAAACACGGCACCATTGCATCAGAATCTTGGGCAACTAACAGCGAAGAACTTCGATCAGCAAATCTTAGTCAATCGGCCCAATGTTTGTTCTAAGCGAACAAACTAATCTGTGAGGGCGATCACATGTCTAGTTTATAGTCGGCGGCCAACCAACAACTAAGGACGACAATTTAATCCGAATATGACGGGTTTCAATCCAACCCGATTTAATTGGGTTGGATTTTTAAAAAAAAAAAATCGGATTCGGGTCGATTTTTTAAGGGACGAGGTTGGGTCGGGTTGGGTTCAGGTGGAGGATGAAAAAACTCCTATCCGACCCGAGCATAATAATGTAATTTTCTTAAAATTTTATTATCTTTTAATTAAATCATTATTTTATACAGGATTTGGTCGAATTTATACTCTAAAAATTTGAATCGGATATCGGTGAATGATATATTTTTGGGTCGGGTCGAATCAAGTTGATCAAAACCCGGCCCTAACCCGACCCGTTGCCATCCCTACCAACAACTAGTAATCAAAGCTAAAAAAACCTAAAACCTTAAATTATATATATATATATATATATATATATATATATTGATAAATCTAAGATAAATACAATATAACTTTAAATTTTAATTTTTCATAATTTTTTAGAATGTAACTAGTTTATATGTTTAATTTTTTAAAAAGTATAATTCTAATTTTTGAGATAAATTTTGAATTCGATCCCATATGAAATAAATATATTTCATAAAAAAATATCAATTTTATTCAATAAAAATAAGGATCTAATTGAAAAAACTAATATATAGAGGGCTATTATTGAAATTATCCCTAAATATATAAGGTAAATTTATATTATTTTTTTTGTGTCGAGTTGGATCAGGTATTTTTGACCCGAACATATATTCTAAAAACACAATTTGTCCCGAATTGATGATGAAATTCTTTTAAAAAAATTGACCTAATCCAGTTGAGTTAGAACCCATCGGATTCTAGTCTCGTACTCATCCCTACGACAATATGATTATTTTAATATTTTAATATTTTTAATATTAAATAAATATCTTTTATCTTTTTAAAATATGATAACCTTTTCACCTAATCTCGTAACGTTCTCATCACGGATGAATATTAGGATTGTCCAACCTATTTATCCCATCGACAAGAGTAATCGACAAATAATCGCTCTAATAAGGATATTATTATCCTATTTTCAATATATATATATATATATAAAGGATATTATTATCCTCTTCATTATTAGAAAGTTTCACGTGCGAAAACTAATATACGGTTAAAATATGCGATACTGGTTTTGTTATTATTTTTAGCAAAATCGGTAAAATATTATTAGAAATATTATTATTTTTACTGGTTTTGTTATTATTGGGCGCTTTACTGAGTTTGGTAATATATCCGGTAAAAAAAAATGTTTTAGGTAATGCTTTACCGGATATATTACCAATCTCGGTAAAGCGCTCAATAATATTTTTGGTAGAAATAATAATGTTTTCTGTAATTTTTTACTGATTTTATTAAAAACAATAACAATATCGATAATATCTTTTCTTAGACGAATATTAAAACTGCCGTACGGTAGAACTTCCTATCACCGCTTTCATACTCCATAACCTCCTTTTTCCTCTCTGACGTGAGATTAATATCTTCGTATCTCTAAAACGCGACACATGCACCATGTCTTTAAGACTTTAACTAAGATTTGTGGGTTGAATAAATAAAAGATTCAATGTTGTTTTAAATAAGATTCAAATTCGACTGTGTTAAATGAAAAAAGAAAAAAAAAATATGTTCCGAAGAATTTACTTTTGGAAATGAGATCCAAAACGAAACATCAGAGGATTTGAGACCAAAATACAGAATGGGCCAATGCCAATGCAACATACTTTTATTAACAACGAGATCAAACAAATCTAATTTCCATTTGAAATGGACATAAACAGAGTTCAAATATCATGCAAAGTTGAACCAGCTCTCGTTCATTTCAATGAAGTCACTCATCCACTCCCAATCAAGAGGCTCCTCACTGCCAAAATCGTGTAACGTTTCATCTCTCTTTGATGTACCTTCTTCGCTTCCGGTCGATCCCATGATCATCTCGGTTTCTTTCGAGTTCTCGAGCACCGATTTTTGTGCTTCCGAGCCTTTGTTTTGGTTCTCGTTTCGCCTTACTTTCTTGCTTAAATGAGAATTCCAATAGTTCTTGATTTGGTTATCAGTTCGGCCTGGTAGTCTTCCGGCAATCAAAGACCACCTAATCGAAAATATAGGGTTGAATTATGATTTCGGTGCCCCTATTATGTTCGAATTTCGGATTTATTGTTTCTACTTTAATTCAGCATAATTTGATCTCTTCACTTTTATAATATCATTGTTTAGTCCAAATAGTTAATTTAACAATCTCCATTAAACTGATGGTGTATATTTTTCTTAAAAACACCCCTTCTGATGCAATATATATATATATATATATATATATCAACATGATGAGTTGAAAGATGTATTTTAAGAGAAAAATGATGTAAGAATTTTAACCGAAATGGTTAACAATGTAATTATTTAGACAAAAAAATGACATTATAAAATTAGAAGCACCAAAATATGTCGAACTATAGGGACTAAATTACAAATATGAATATAGTAGAAAGATCAAAACCATAATTTGAACAATAAAATAATCTGTTTTAATTATTGACCCATAAATTGCAAAATCATATTAAAACAAACTCTGTTTTAGAGAGACAAAAGCAACTCCACCAGCAAACCAGACATATATTTGATGTTAGGAGCCAAGTTTATAACATAAAATTAATGAGTTTTTATAATGATTTACAATTATTGGATTAACAAAAAAAAAATCAATGTTTAATACTTATATTTACTTCCTGAAAATATCAAGACTGGAAATAATGAGATAGTTGGGAGTCGGAGAAAGGAAATTTTTTATTTATAATCACACCCAATTTCTTTTAATTCAATGATTATAAATCAATGTAAAACTATGTAACTGAATCATATCCTATATGTATAAATAACATACCTATTTCCAAGCAGTTTATGAAGCCTTAGTATGAGATCCTCTTCTTGGTCTGATATGTCGCCTCTTTTTATATTGGGTCTCAGATAATTCATCCATCTCAATCTGCAGCTCTTCCCACATCGATTAAGACCTGAGAAAAATGGAACCCATAAGCTGAATCATATGGATGAACATGTTGAACAGTTAAAGTGGGAAAGAACCTGCTTTTGCTGCAATTGATTTCCATCTCTTTGGACCATGAACTTCAATGACTTGAGCCAGCTTTTTGTCTTCCTCGGCTGTCCAAGCTCCTCTATTGACTTCTTTCGTGTTTACGGCAGCCATTGGCATCTTCTTTCACTTTATTTTCTCACCAGAGAAACACAGAGGGGAGCTATGGGGTTGCGATGTTCAGTTGGCAAAGGCTATTTATGGTTCAGTAGGTGGCATGTTGTGTCGGTTCTATGTAGCTTTTCTAGCTACCTTTCTTTCGGAAGAATGTAGCCCAAATTATGATTCTGGTCCTTCAGAATACTTAAATTTAGGATTTGAGGGGTGATAGTTGATGATTCGTCCCTTTTCATTTGGGTAGAGGATCGTTTAAAGAATGACGATAGTTTTGAAAAATGTTTAAGAATGGGTTCAGTAGATGTCAGGATCTTTTATCTCGAAGAGCATTGTGAGTGTGATGTACCCAGTGAGATATGAAGGGGATTGATTGATACAAAATAACAAAAACAGAAGTCGAATGATTAAAAAATCGTCAGGTTATGGTATAGGGACTAAATTCTAATTCGGATCACAATAAAACTACTAAAACTAGAATTTGACCCATGATATGAACAAAAAAAAAAAAGAGAAAAGAGTTGGGATATGGGGTCTGAAAGTTTGTTGTGTAGCTGATGATTGTAAAATGAAGAGAATCATTATGGGTGCAAGAATAACAGATAGTGCTTAATTAAAGATCCTATCGAATGCAGTATCAAGCCACTAAAAAATAAAATAAGGTAGGTGAACTTCTTTTTGCATGTGATGGTTTATGATTTTAGTAGAGAATTACAACAAAGGCATGATGAGAACAAGGAATTAGCAGATGCAAACAACAGTTAAGAACCATCATTACCTTTGGTAGGCCCCCAAAATTGGGTTAAATTGAGGTTGGCCTTCTTTCACGAGCTCTTAAAAACTTAGGGATTATTGCATAATTAAACCTCTCTTTTCATCCAGGGAATATAAAGAGTGAAATGTAAATCATTATCGTGATCGGCCTAAACATTACAGCTATAAGTGAATGATATAATGATAAGCTATATTAATATTAGAAGGGCCACTTTAGACTGAGTCTGAATCTTTGCACTCCTGCGCCTCATGAGAAATCGTAAGACAATTCCGTCAATAAAATAATTGAAGGAGTAAGGGATCAACAAAACTCAACTTGATTCAAAAAATCATTTTTTTCAATTTCGAGTTATTTGAATTATTTTGATTCAATTTGAATTATCAATTTGTTTTTTGAGTTTGAGTCGACTTGAAATTTGAAGATTTCGAGTTACTCGAAAAACCAAAAAATTAATTAGGTATTTTGACAGTTTTACGATTTGATCCATGATTTCATTATTCCTTCAATTCTTCATTCATTTTAATTCCATGTTTTTATTAAATTTGAATTGCATGCTTCTAAACCATAGTAGAATATATATGTACTTTTAATTCCTCTTTTTGATAATAAGTTTATTTATTTTTCAATTTATTCCCTCAATTTTTCATAATTTCCTTATTTCATCAATTCATTCTTTATTTAAGTATTTTTTTACCAAATTTTAACCACATACCCATATACCATTATAGAATACATATGTAACTTCACTTCTTATTTTTTACAAAAATTTAGTCCCTTGACTTTGTATTTACTCAATATGGTTTTTTAGTTCAATTGTTTGCAAATTCTTTCTTCCCATCAATTCCTTGACTCCTTATTAGAGTTCTAAATTGTCACTTTTTACTTGTTAATCTCCTCATCTAATGAATTTATTACTGTTGATTTGGATTGTGTTTTGTTTATTTTCGTGAAGTGGTCTACTTTCTGGAATCAACAGTAAAAAGGGCGTTATTCGTATTTTTTTATTATCCGATCGCGATTCAGGACATGGGCACGACACTGGGCACGACGCGGTCTGACATGGAAGTTTCTAAAAGGTCCAATAAACGCTATGAACATTCTGGAGACAGCTCAGTTAGCACGATCTAAGGAGACTCTTTAGGAAAATTGGATTTGAATTTAAAACTGAAGGAATTATCTTTTAATATGTTTTAATTTCCATGTATCGTAGGGATTTAAAAGCCTATAAATATCCTCTTTGGGGTAAGGTTTAAATCATCTTCATCTTGAATTCTTCCTTGCCATTTTGTTTTCATTTTAATCAAAGTTTTTCTTTTCTTTTCTTTCATTTTCACTTTCTTTATTGCATGCTTTTTAGTGCTTTCACAAAATATGCTAAGTATGGTTTCTACCATTCTAAGCTAATTTTCTTATTTAGCCAAAATCTAGCGATGATTCAATTCCAAATGTGAGAATTGAAATAACACTTAATACTTTTAATACTTTTGGGTTACATTCTCAGTTTTCTGGTAAACTAGTTTGGCAATTGGCCTTACTTTTAAAAAACAAAATGCTTTCAAATTAAAAAGTCAAAGTTGGTCTGGATGTTGTTCTGATTTAAAGTTGGAAGGAAGAATCGACTGGTAGTCAGTTCAACTTCCTGGGAACACACTTAGCAGTAGTCCACTAAGGGAAACTGAGATCGGATTTATAACAGTTTTAAATGGTTTTTTTATGATACCATTAAGCATGTTTGAAAAGAAAACGAACATGTTTTGAAAAATAGGTGTTTCCTCGGTAGCCCAATATGGCACTTTAGGCCCAATCGGGTTTAGGTGTTACAATAACAATCACTATTGGGCATTTATGCAAAAGCTTCGTTGTCGATCCCAATAAATGAACATTGCATTGATTTTAAAAGTGCTCCAAGGTTTTGAAAAAGGATTTCCGCTTACTTCGGGAATTACTAGTTCTCATCCCCTAAGTATAATGTTGTTAAAAATAATAAAATCAATGACCTACTTATAATTAAATAATAATATTGAGGCAAATTCAAAATAATAAACATAGTACAAACAGTGACTAAAGTGCGAAAACACGGAATATATAGGGTACTAAAATGAAATTACATCTAAATTTCTAAGTAGATTAAAGTACAAACAACAAAATGTAAATTATGCAATTAGGACACAAAGATTTGAAATAAAATAAAAAGAACAAGACTAAGGATTATAGTGCAAAAATACGACAAAGGTTTGGGGACTAAAGAGAAATTTGCCCCTAATATTTCAATATATTAGACATCCTTTTTTCAAATCATTTTTAACCTAAGAACAAAAACAAGAAAACGTTTTAAGTTATATCAACCCTCATTTTCTTCAGGTTTTTTCACCAAAAAAATAACCCTATAAATAAAATATTACCTGTTAGTCATCATTTCCCAAATATTGTCCGATCTAACACTTGAGAGAAGGAGGCACATTCGGTGAAAAGAACTTTAGGAGGATTCGAAGGTAATGCACAGTTGGTGGGAAGCGTCTAAGTCGAAAATCACCTGATACCAGTGAAACCGCTGATACCCCGCTCATACCCCTGAAAGACGCATCCCCAGGGGCGTGCCTTCCCCCTTCCCGCCCCAAACTCTTGCCTAATTCTCCCCCAATTTTCCCAACCCCTAACCGACTGCCTATATAAACCCCCTTTCCCCTATTCACATAAATCAAACATAAATATCTCCCATTTCTATCTATTTTCAATCTAGTAAGGTATAATTGTTTTTTATAATTTATTTTTTTAATCATTAAAATTTTATTATTTGTGTAATTAATTATTTTATGTAATTATTTTATTTTAGTATTTATTTTTATTTGATTATTTAGTTATAAACTTATTTATTAAATATTTATTAATTACAGATAAAAATGGAAGGCATATTGTTGTGATTGGATGATGATCATATTTCGAGTCATTTTGCCGATACATTAAGAATACGTGACAACTGTCGTTTTGATTTCAAAATAAATTTCTCATTCTCAATTAATAAATAAAGTAAATACGTAGTAAATAGAAGCAAGGGTCGATCCTTAGGGACTTAGAAAATTCCAAATTTTTGTTTGAATGGTTTAAACCAGGTGATAAGTAGTAAACAATGGGGGTTTTGTAAAAAGAGATTAAATAATAATAAAAGTGATTTAAAGGAAAAAAAAAGAAAAAAAATTGAAGGTTGAAAATGAATATGGTAAAACAACCTCAAGCCTCGCTTTGACTCAATTTCCTTCGGATCATCGAATTAGATTTTCCCTTTGGGATTCACGTCGGTTACTTTGTCTACAAGGGCAATCCTCCCGACTCTATTTTGTATACCGAATACCCAAGCCAATCTTTGATTCCGGCTTCCAAAATTGATCTGATCAATATAAATTGTCATAGATCAATAACCGTTTAAGTTCGTGAAGACCGACTCGGATTGTTGTTTCAATAACTACTAATTCTGATCTCAATTCCCTCTTGGCAAGGTTATCTCACCAAGTGTGATCCTAGGAAGTCGAATGTACTTTCAATAAGTCGATCATTCCTCCCACACATTTAATCGCAACAACATCTTGACCAAACCAATCTTTGATATTAAAAATTTTTTTGATTTTGAAAAATAAGCGCAGATATTTAGAGAGATACATCGAAGTTATTCAAGTGCTTTTCAATTCTCACGTTGGAATTGATTCATCGCTTCAGCTCTCGACTTATGAAAAAATTAGCTAAGCATGACAAAAGTCATACTTAGCACATTTAAAAACAAAACTTAAAGTAAAAGAAAAACGAAAACGAAAACTTGAAAAATAAAAGAGAGAACTTTTATAAAACTAGAAATGAGAAGAAGAATAAATTCTGAGTTGTGTGTTTAGGCTTACTCCAAGAGGGTATTTATAGCCTCTAAAAACCTAGAGATAAACAAAGAAATAAAATAAAAATAATCCTACAGATAATTCCAAATGTTTTCTAAATTCAAACTTTAAAACTTAAAAATAAGTCTCCTAATATAACTCTGCCGTCCATCTTCCAGAAGGCACTGACTAGATCTTCTAAAAAACTGATGCTGACTGGACCTTTTAGAAACTGCCGCTGACTACACCTTCTAGAAACTACCACGTCAAATCGTGTCATGCCCACAATTGTGCCCATGTCTCCATCCATGACCAAATAATAAAAAAAATGCAGATTGCACACGTTTTACTATTAAATTTGGAAAGTAAAACCATGCATGAAAATAAGCTTAACATAACCA